CCCTTGTCTCTTTCTGTTTTATCTAACGTTTGATTGTTTTGCAAGGTACAACAATGAGTGACGAAACAAACACTAGTACTGTTCGTGAATCGGGTGATCGGGCGACAATTGACACAAGGGAGTCGTAGCGTCGAAGAATACTATAAGGAGATGGAGATACTAAAGATTCGTGCTCATATTGACGAGGGTCAAGAAGCTGCCACAGAACGGTTTCTTGGGGGATTGAACCAAGAAATTCAAAACCGTGTTGAAACACATCACTACGAGGGGTTGGAAGATCTCTTGCATCTTTCCATCAAAGTCGAGCGGCAACTCAAGGGGAAGGGTAAAATACCGCAACGATCCGGTCCGACATCATACTCTCAGTCAAATCATTGGAAGCAAGAGAAGCCGAATACTACTTCCAAATCCGAGCCCAAATCGGAATCGCTAAAACCCAAGGCACAAGGTACTGGCAATACCTCTCAAACACGTAACCGTGATATCACATGCTTTCGATGTTTGGGCAGGGGTCATTATGCTAGAGATTGTGCAAACAAACGCGTGATGGTTATGCGAAATGGAGAGTATGAAACTGAATCCGAAAGTGGAGATGGACAAGAGAATAGTCATGAGTTTTCTTCGGACTCAGATGACTATGAGGAGCAGCCCGCTCCTAGGTCTCTTGCGCTTCTCCCCAACGAAACTTGTTATCCTTTTTAATCACTTCCGTCAATGGGGCAGCTATGGTGCTGAAGTCTTTGACAAAACGCCGATAAAATCCTGCCAAGCCATGAAAACTTCGAACCTCACTAGTGGACTTAGGAGTCGGCCAACTCTTGATGGCTTCTATCTTTTCCTCATCGACGTGTATGCCCTGTGAACTGACAACAAATCCTAGGAAAACAACCTTATCAGTGCAAAAGGTGCATTTCTAAAGGTTAGCGTATAATTTCTCGCCTCGCAGTATGTCAAGAACACAACGTAGATGTTCAACATGTTCTCCTAAACTCTTGCTGTAAACTAAGATATCGTCAAAGTAAACAACAACGAATTTTCCAATGAGATTTCTGAGAACATGATTCATAAGCCGCATGAAAGTGCTAGGTGCGTTAGTTAAACCAAAAGGCATTACCAACCACTCGTAGAGTCCTAGCTTCGTTTTGAACGCTGTCTTCCATTCATCACCCTCTTGCATACGAATTTGATGGTATCCACTCTTCAAATCTATCTTTGAAAACACAGTAGAACCATACAATTCATCTAGCATATCATCAAGACGAGGTATAGGGTGTCGATACTTCACCGTTATGTTATTGATTGCTCGACAATCAACACACATGCGCCACGTTCCATCTTTCTTTGGAACTAGAATTACCGGTACCGCACATGGCGACATGCTCTCCCGAACATAACCTTTCTCCAGGAGTTCAGTCACTTGTCGTTGAAGCTCCTTTGTTTCATCTGGGTTAGTACGATACGCTGGTTTGTTTGGAAGACTAGCACCGGGTACGAAGTCAATCTGGTCAATGGTTGAACGATAGCGGAGAAACAAAGGTACATCGGCAAGTGAAGGTACCTTTCTCTATTGGTGACTATGATGATGAAGTGTTATGCGACGTAGTACCCATGCAAGCAGGGCATTTGCTACTTGGGCGTCCATGGCAGTTTGATAGACGAGCCAAACATGACGGTTACACTAACCGATATTCATTTGAAGCCAAGGGCAAGCGGTTTCGATTGTTACCTCTCACACCGAAAGAGGTATACGAAGATCAAGTTACACTACTCAAAAGAGAAAAAGCGTTGAATACGAGTGACCATGAGGTAGATCACTTAAAACTTGGTGAGGTCTTGAGAAAACCCCAGAAAAAAGCCTGTGAGAGAAATCCCGAGAGGACAAACACTCTTCTTTTCACGAGAGCTAGAGAGATTAAGAAAGCTATGCTTTCGAACCGGCCGATGATTTTACTCATGTATAAGGAGGCCTTATTTGCTAATGAACTAATCTCTTCTTTGCCTAGTGGTGTTTGTAAGTTGTTACAGGATTACGAGGATGTCTTTCCGGAAGAGATCCCGAATGGTCTACCACCCTTGCGAGGAATTGAGCACCAGATTGACTTCGTACCCGGTGCTAGCCTTCCAAACAAACCAGCGTACCGTACTAACCCAGATGAAACAAAGGAGCTTCAACGACAAGTGACTGAACTCCTGGAGAAAGGTTATGTTCGGGAGAGCATGTCGCCATGTGCCGTACCGGTAATTCTAGTTCCAAAGAAAGATGGAACGTGGTGCATGTGTGTTGATTGTCGAGCAATCAATAACATAACGGTGAAGTATCGACACCCTATACCTCGTCTTGATGATATGCTAGATGAATTGTATGGTTCTACTGTGTTTTCAAAGATAGATTTGAAGAGTGGATACCATCAAATTCGTATGCAAGAGGGTGATGAATGGAAGACAGCGTTCAAAACGAAGCTAGGACTCTACGAGTGGTTGGTAATGCCTTTTGGTTTAACTAATGCACCTAGCACGTTCATGCGGCTTATGAATCATGTTCTCCGAAATCTCATTGGAAAATTCGTTGTTGTTTACTTTGACGATATCTTAGTTTACAGCAAGATTTTAGTAGAGCATGTTGAACATCTACGTTGTGTTCTTGACATACTGCGAGGCGAGAAATTATACGCTAACCTTAAGAAATGCACCTTTTGCACTGATAAGGTTGTTTTCCTAGGATTTGATGCCTAACTGTTCTATGCGAGATTTGCTTGTTCAAGAGGCTCATGGAGGAGGTCTCATGGGACATTTTGGAGTGGCCAAGATCTTGTCAACTTTGCAGGAACACTTCTATTGGCCAAATATGAAGAGAGATGTTGAACGGGTGTGTGGAAGATGCATGAAGTGCAAGAAGGCGAAATCCAAGGTACAACCCAATGGTATGTATACGCCTTTACCGATTCCGAGTGCACCATGGATTGATATTTCAATGGATTTCATTGTTGGGTTGCCTAGAACTAGGACAGGGAAGGATTCTGTGTTTGCTGTGGTTGATAGATTTTCGAAAATGGCACATTTTATCCCTTGTCATAAAACCGATGATGCATCCCATATTGCGGTTTTTTCTTTCGAGAAATTGTTCGGTTGCATGGCATGCCTAGGACGATTGTTTCGGATAGAGATACTAAGTTCCTAAGTTACTTTTGGAAGACTCTATGGGGAAGATTAGGGACTAAGCTACTCTTTTCGACGACTTGTCATCCACAAACCGATGGACAAACGGAAGTAGTGAATAGGACTCTTTCTACGTTGTTGCGTGCTTTAATTAAAAAGAACCTTAAAACGTGGGAAGACTGTCTACCGCATGTTGAGTTTGCATATAATCGATCTGTGCATAGTGCTACGCGTTACTCGCCTTTTGAAATCGTTTACGGTTTTAATCCACTAACACCATTGGATCTTTCGCCATTGCCGATGAACGAAATGACTAACCTTGACGGAAAGAACAAGGCTGAGTTTGTAAAACAGATTCATGAAGCAGCCCGCAAGAATATTGAGCGACGCACGGAGCAATACGCTAAGCAAGCAAACAAAGGGCGCAAGGAAGTTACGTTCGAGCCAGGAGACATGGTGTGGATTCATATGCGCAAGGAAAGGTTTCCAAATCAGAGGAAGAGCAAGCTTATGCCGAGGGGAGATGGACCATTCAAAGTTCTCGAACGAATCAACAACAATGCCTATAAGATTGAACTTCCAGGTGAGTACAACATTAGCTCTACGTTTAATGTTGCTGACTTAGCTCGTTTTGATGCAGATGATAATTCGGATTTGAGGGCAAATCCCTTTCAAGAGGAAGGGAATGATGAGGACATCGGGAAGCACGGGAGAGACGACAAGAGAACGGGAGCTGGAGATTCTCAAGCGGATCGAAAGGAGCTCTTGGAACAGAAATTGAAGAGTGACGGTCCCATAACTCGCGCCAAGGCAAAGAGGTTGAAGGAAACATTTACAATGCTACTTCAAGAAGAGTTTGAGCTTCAAAATCAAGTGGAATCAGCCCAAACTCAAGCCCATCCCTTGGTTAACATACTTGAGGCCCAAATCAGCCCAAATGAAGCAAAATGAGCCCAAAAGAGTGCTTGGAAAACATGGAAGAAGAGGAGCTACGAATTCTGGTCTTTGTGCAATAAATGTGGTCATTTTTTTGACTACATTGGAACTATAATTGTCTTGTTTTTAGTCTTCTTTATTTTCAGCAAACTCTTTTATTTTTCTTAGTTTTTCAATGTTTCCTTTCCTTATAAAAAGGGAGCATCTATCATGTAAAACTCAGATTATTGAATTGAGAGGTTTCTTCTTATGTTCTTGAGTACTAACTCTAAACTTCGTAAGGTTTGAGGTAGTGTTCTTTTGACTTATCAAACACTTTTACCACCAGGTGTTTGTGGCATCTTCGCTAGTTTCAAAGGTTCTCTAACCGGGTCTAGATTGGGTTTAGGGCGTTCTTGTGACTGGAACAAGTCCTAGATTCGGTTCACGTGTCGTTAGTGGGTTTTTGAACATCCATCTACTATCCTTCTTACCTAATTCTGAGATTCGTCGATCCGGGTTCGTATCATTTGGTATGTGCGTCCAAGCACTTTTAGAGTGCATCCAAACATGTATTGATAAAGGATGATTTAGGTTTAGGGGGCGAAATTCTAAAAAGAATATCACTTTATTCCCTTATAATTCTAATTACATCAGACTTTCTAACTTATAAACAAAATCGAGAGGAGTAAAAGAGGAAAGAACATATGTGCACTTTACAAGAAATGGCAATGTTGGATTGCCTTAACAGAAAAAGGAAACGTAAAATCACAATCTGTCTTGTTCCTCAAATGTCTCCTAACGGCCAGGTTGAGCTGATTAATGGCCACGTCTTCTCCTTAATGCATGCTGTGAGATCTTTATGGGCTTGGCCCAATATCAAAGTCCACAGACACATTAGAAACTTGGGCCCTTCCTTTGCCAATCTGATTCTTCAAGTTATTAACGTTTCCATCAGATCTTCTCTTCATCAAATCTTCTTCAACGTGTTCAGCCTCCATCTTGTCTTCATGAATGTTGTGATCTTCATCCGTTTGTCCGTTAACATTCCCCCTCAAGATTGGCCGGGAGAACTCAATAAGGCCAATCTTGGAGAGACACTTGTTAAGGACAAACGAGTTTATAGCCTTCGTGAGAATGTCTGCAAGTTGGTCTTGACTCCTTGTGTATTTCGGTGCAATGAGCCCTTGAGTGATCTTTTCCCGAATAAAGTGGCAGTCAACCTCTATATGCTTCGTTCTTTCATGGAAGACCGCATTTTCAGCTATGTGCAATGCTGCTTGGTTGTCGCAATGCAAAGGTGTTGGACTCTCCATCTTGATTCCAAGATCTTGTAACAATTGTCTCAACCATAGAATTTCGCTTATTGTATTTGCCATGGCTCTATACTCCGCTTCTGCACTTGACCTTGCCACCACATTTTGCTTCTTGCTCTTCCAAGTGACCAGATTCCCTCCTACAAATGTGCAGTAGCCCGTTGTTGATTTGCGATCTGTTCTATCTCCGGCCCAATCTGCATCACAATAAGCTACAATTGTTGTGTGTTTGTTCCGCTCCATCCATACACCTTTGTTCGGAGTCCCCTTTAAGTACTTTAATATTCGATCCACCATTTGCCAATGTGTTGTCGTTGGAGCATGCATCCATTGACTCACCTGATGTACAGCAAAGCTTAAGTCATGACGTGTAATCGTAAGATATATAAGCTTACCTACAACGCGACGATATTGCTCTGGATTTGGTAGAGATTCCCCCTCGCGTTGATCCTTGAAGTGTTCTTCGATAGGCGTCTTGACTGGTTTGCATGCAAGCTTTCCGGTTTCTGTGAGCAAATCAAGTGTGTATTTTCTTTGACATAGAAAAAGAGAGTTAGTAGAACGAGTGACTTCGATGCCAAGAAAGTATTTCAGAGCACCGAGGTCTTTAATATCAAACACAGATTTTAAGTAAGCCTTCGTATCCTTGATACCGAGAACATCATTACCGGAAAGTATAATATCATCAACATACACTAAGAGAATGATAGTACCAGATATGGTGTGAGATGTGAACAGGGAGTGATCCGAGTCACTCCTAGAAAATCCTTTGGCCGTGAGTGCCTCATACAGTTTTTGGTACCATGCTCTTGGGGATTGCTTTAAACCATAGATGGATTTACGCAGCTTACAGACTTGGCCAGAATTGCAGCGGTTGTACCCCGGAGGTGGTAACATGTAGATATCTTCCTCAAGATCGCCTTGGAGAAATGCATTTTTCACATCCATCTGCCACAACTCCCAATCAAGGTTAATAGCTAATGAAAGAATAACACGTACAGTGGGTAATTTGGCCACGGGTGCAAAGGTGTCGGTGTAGTCCTCGCCATAGGTTTGAGTGTAGCCCTTTGCTACCAATCGAGCCTTGTATCTCTCAATATCACCATTGCTGAGGTACTTGATTTTGTACACCCACTTGCAACCTACAACACGCTTATCATTAGGTAAAGAGGAAATTTCCCAAGTCTTGTTGCGCTCTAGAGCATCAATCTCCTCTTGCATGGCATTCTGCCAAACATCAATGGTTTTTGCTTGATCATATGATGTTGGTTCGTAACCCTGGTCAAGAACACTAAGAAAACTCATTGCATCAGTAGGATAGGTAGTTAAAGAAGAATAATGATGTATGGGATAGGTAACTGCTGTGTTAGCCTTTGGTTGATGCGAAAGTTTCCACTACTCAGAAGGCGGTTTTCTGTCCCGGGCGCTTCTTCTTAAGATTGGTGGTTGATCAGAGGGAACTAATGCAGTGTTCTCATGTGGAACAGCTGTTGAGAAATCTGGAGCTATAGGAGAAGTCGACATGCTTGAGGAAGAAGGAACAGGTGTGGTATGATCATGTTCCCCTTGAATATGCACGGTATCTTCCCCCTCAAGTTGTATGTCGGCCTCCTCAGCATTCTCACCTGCAAAAGGAATGGGTGTGTGGTCTTCTTGATTCCTACCGTAGAGGTCAGAATGTTGGGAATCTTGTGCTATCTCACCTGCAATGTTAAAAGGAATAACAGAATGGGAAGGAGAAAGAGGGGAAAGGAACGTATTACCTTCGGTTTGAGCAGAAGACACCTCATCGATATGTGGAATGGTAGATGACAATTTAACATTCGATTTTCCCGATGAGGAGTTTCCAATAAGTCGTAGAGATGTGATCAGGTGAAGGAGAGAATCATTGTAATCTTTGCCTTGCGTCCCCATATCATCTAGGCTTTTCCAATCTTTGTCACCAAAATAACTAACGTCTTCAACAAATTTGACATCCCGGGATGTGAATAAACGCTTTGTCGGAGGGTAATAGCACAGGTAACCCTTTTGGTCAGCCGGATAACCAAGGAAGATGCACCTCATGCTTTTCGGATCAAGTTTTGTGCGAGCACCATCATCTATTTTTGCAAAACATACACAACCGAAGATTCGTAAGTGTTCAATAGAGTCTTTGCGATTGTAGAGTACCTCAAATGGTGATGTGTCGTGCAACACTTGTGTAGGGAGACGATTGATAAGGTAACACGCCATTTTCACCGCGTCACTCCAATATAGTTTCGGTACATGGCGATGAAAGAGCAAAGTACGGGCAACCTCCATGAGATGTCGATTCTTCCGTTCGGCGACACCATTTTGTTGGGGAGT